GCTCCCTTTCCTGCCGCCCACCTAAACTGCGGTCCATTATAGGAGCTCTTAAAGGAGCTAACAGGCGTCAATGTGCCCATTTGGACAGCAGCGAGTGGGTGGACTATTAAGTGGCTGCCTGGATGGCCTCTCCTATTGTCTTCCTCTGTTTCTCTCCTCTGACACACTCAACCTTTCCCCTGCTCTGTTGTTTTCCTCTCTGGTTTTCTTCTTTTCATTGTTTTTTTTCCCGTCAATCTTAATTACCTCAATTACCCCAATTATTCCTTATACGTTTCAAACTGCCCTCTTTAATTCTCCCTCTATCTTGCACCTCCCATCCCTTTCTGCCTTTAATCCTCTTTACCTTCACCTGCTTCTCTGTCTGTTTCTATCTGTGTCTCCTTCTCCTCTCAGACCTGCTTGTCTGCTGTCTGTGAGCATCAAACCCTCTGTGCTGCCTGTGTCTGTGGAGGAGTAGGAAGCCTTGAAGACGAAGAAATCAAATTGTCTGCTAGCATCTAATTCCCCCCGACATCCACTTCAGCCAGGCTGTCTTTACCCGCATCCTGGAGGGAGGAGAGGAGAGGAGAGGAGGAGGATGAGGAGAAGGGAAGGGGGTAGATGGAGGGAGCAGGAGTTGGCTGCGGAGGTAGTAAACGAAGGAGCGGGGGTGCATGTGTGCATGTCTGTGTGTAGAAGGGAAAGTGTGTGTGTGGGGGGGCAGTTGGCTGGAGGGGGGATTCTGACTCCCTGTGCTTCTTGTCAGATCGACCGTGGATCAACCTGAGGCTCAGACCTCACCTCACCTACAGCACACACTTTACACACACACACACACACACACACACACACACACACACATTATATATACCACCCTTGCACACACTGCTACATTTCTTCCTGACTAGCTCTGGACAGGCTTACAAACAAGTACTTAGAGTAGAAACTACTGGATCCTTGTCTTACAACTGCAAAGGAAGCCTTCACATTAAAAATGTACTTGGTGGTTATTGTGAATCATTGCATGGATTCACAAAAACATCACATATTTCTTGTTAATACAAATCAGTTTTGACATGAATAGGTTGAAGTTAAATATTGTTATATGTGGAGGCATATTACAGAAATATTAGGCTGATTAAACTTAAGCTCCTTCACCTTTGATAATTAATAGGAATATGTATTGGTGTGTTCATAAAAATCACAACATACAAAATAAATCTCAAAGCATTCATCAAAAGCAACAAGTCCTACATGTTATAAAATCTAAAAACGTAAAATCAGTGTAGGTAAAATATTTTGTTGTATTCCTGAACTGGAACTGCAAGAATACGTTAGCTGGTATTAGACCCCGACTAATATATCAGATGACCAATATTGGCCTATTGCAGATACATGCAGATATAGAAACAGTTTCTGTCCAGCTGACAATGCAAAAAATAAAAAATAAAAAAGCTTGTGGGAAAGTATTGGTGTCACTGCAACAAATCATTGGTACATTAAAGAAATGCTTGAGCTTAGTTGAAAGTGTCTGGGCCTCCATTATTTACAGGACTGTCACAGATGTGCAAATATGCAAAGATGTTAACTGTAACATGCAAATATACCTTATCCTGTAAATACTCTTTATCAGAGCTTATTGATGAACAGTATGTGCACTGCAAATAATTATGATACACTGTAAAATGACATTTCTACTCAATATCAGCATTAGGATAAAACCCCAAAAGACAGTATAAAAGTATACAGCCTGGGTTTGTGTGTGGATATCTATAAGCCTCTATTTAATAATGTAATCTAATAATTTGTATTCAATAACTAAATTTAACAACACCCATCAGGTAGATGCCACTACACACTACACACAGTCTTTGCCTGAAGGGTTCAATTCAAGTTGATTCTGTAACACACTCCTCTACACATTCATGAGAAGGTTCATGTAACGGTTGATCCCTGCATTGAGACAAAGCCCATCAAATGAGGTAATAACAGGAGACCTCCAGTCTCGTCATTATCTCTGGTTTACTGTGAGTAAATGACATCATTATCAGAGGCTATTGATTGTCTTCTGGCTGGGTGACAGCAGGTCAGCTAATAGATGGTGGTTATTCCAGGCGAGGCTACGTTTATAGACTGGAGAGAGCTTAAGACCAACACATTAGCGCTTCAGTGGAGATGGGCAGTAAACTACAAGATGTGATTATCGAACATAACATTGACATTATGTCTCATATTTATATACAGACTTTGAATAAATTAAAACATCTCTGGCTGAATTACAGTGCTCAATCCAGCCATTTCTGTGACAGCCACAGCCTGCATGTGCACTCAAACAAAGACACACCTGTAATCATGCACATGTCTACACACACACAGACATATCGTATATCCACACAGAAACACAGGGCATTTAGATATGCACCCTCTTTACCATACAACAAGCTAACAGAGCTTATCTTCCTCTTCTTGCTGGGTACTATTGGAGAGGTTTACACAATGTAGACAAAATTACATAAAAGACCAAAAAACACAACATCCTGAATGAACTTAATGACTCCATTAGACTTGTGTAAAGATATAATTCATTTTGATTTCATTCCATCAAAAGCAGCCAGGAAAACGGTTTCTTAGCCCAGCACGCAGCCATTTTTAATTCTATTATTTCTGCATCTGTTACAAGACCGACAAACCATGTAATTTCAAACTCCAGGAGTATTTTAGAGCAGTCTTTATTAGCTAGCCTCACCTTCATGCATCTCTTCTCAACTATCTCTCTGTTCCATTATTTCACTGTCTGTGACATACATTTTTTATAAACCCTTCTTCATTCCTCTTCCTGCACTTCTTCTCTCCTTTCTCCACTATATAAAAAGAGACTTACAGTGAAATTGTATTTTTGGCCATTATGCTGCACAACTTTTGTGTTGGTTAACACTGTCTTTGTACCCACTCCTCTTTCTTCTTCCCTCTCTCCAACTGTGGTTTATCTGACTGAGTAGGGCGATGCTGCCAAGTGGTCGGACCATCACCGCAGTGGCTCTGACCCTGGCATTGTGTATCTCTGACTCTCTCTGACCTCTGGGCACAATGGCTCCACTCACAGCCGTCCAGCCTGCCTCAACCCTCACTGTCAGCCAGAGAATGGAGGGGGAGAAAAGAGCGGGTGACGGAGAGGGGAGAGAGGGGTGAGAGGAGAGGGAGTGAAAGTATGTGTGTGTGTTGTGTGTCTGTTTGACATACATGATAAATCAATAAGGTATGTCAACAGCAGTTCTATTGTCTCTATTGTAAAATGCCCAGCACATGAACTGTAATGTTCCAGAAATTAAACACAATAGCGTACATCACAAAATACCGCACATCCCCTGCTGTTGCAGCTCAATGCTGAAATACTCAAATGGCAGACAGCTCTTTCTATGGAAATACCCTTGAAAAATCTATTTATCTTTGTGAACCATTTTATTATTTACAAAAGATTGAATCATGACTGACTTACAATACTGTTCTGTAGATGTGTCCAAACAAGTTTGTAGTAAATGATCTGTGGCGCTGAGGAACAGACGCCAAACATCCTGTATCTGCCTGTTCTCATCCTCATTTTCTCTTTTATTTTATTGCCCTTTCATTTTAAAACACAAATTGGATTTATGAGATTTGCGTTCCCAATGTTTTAAATCCTTGGCTGGCATCCTTAATGTCTCTTAATTAATAGTCATTATTCACACGTGCGCTGGAGTATTAGACAGCAAACAAACCAACTACATTTTCCTCACTAAGAAAAGCTGAAGGGCTTGTCACGGCAGGCCTCGAGGTGAAGATGCCAATAAAATCCATTCAGAACAAACAGAATAGATTTTACACGATGTATCTATTTTCGCATACTGATATTAAACATAGGTCCAGTGTCACACTTTGCTGTCTGATGTATTTCACAAGTTTGGTTGTGTCTGATTTAAATATACAGCAGGTCCCAAACAAACCTTGTCAACCTCTCACTACAGATGGTGATACGCTAAAAGTTATAGATGTCAGTTCTAATGGGTTGTGATATGTATTGCTGACTGTTTGGTGAGATATAATGGCTGTAGCTGCTTTAACACCAGATCACAGCAGTTTGTTAAATATTAGTAAGCTGTATATCGGCTAGGTGTTTCAGCTTAAGCTTTAATGATTAGTGCATCTTGGAGGCTTGTAAATGGAAGTATATTCAACCTAAAACACTGGCCATGTTTAAATAAATTATACAATCATCAGTTTATGTCAAAAAGAGTCCATCACTCTCTACAGCAGCATAAAACAATACAACTTGTTTAGCAGCTTTTTTAAAATTTGCATTCTGGCTTGTATCAAGTTTCCTTCTCATGCTTTGGGTTTTTGTATCTCTCTTCTAACATTTCCGTGGTTATATTTGCAGCATTCCTAGATTCTGAGGGCAAATATTTGTGCTATCACTCTTGCAAGTATTTTATCTTGTGCTTTTAGAACTGCAGCGCACGTTTCAGCTTTCACTCTTCAATATGTTCCATCTTTAGACTCCAACATAGTAGATTTATCGAATACATATACGTTATGACTGGTTCCTAATACACTAACTGTAGACTGCTAGTGTAACATATTCGAATGACACTTCTACCTGAGTCCTGCTTTTTCACATCACTGAATTGCAATCATGTCTTTGATGTGTTATTATTGCTCACTGGAATATTAAATTTGACATTGCGACATGTGGCCTACCTGTCTGATTACACACAAACATGTATGCATGTAAACACATTACTAAACGAAAACTCTGCTGTGAGGCTAGGTGCGTGTCTTTCAGGGTTCAAAAACAATCTTCTGATGATAGATGCTGGATTAGCTGTTGATAGTGCACTTGTGCACTAAGAAACTGTTGACTGAGCAGAGTTCCCATGAGGGCTTAATCCATGCTGGTACACATAGGCAGGGCTGCCCTCAAGGTGAGCTCTGAGTGTGAGTGAGTGTAGGAGACAGACAGATGATTGCCTAGAGAGACTCACACACGGGTTTGCAGCCACTACGTGACGTGTTTCACACCATGCCGGGTTATCAGTGGGTCAGCGTTCTGCAAGGAGGGAGAGAGAGACAGAAAGAGAGAGATTTCAGTTTTAAATATCATCCACTACATTAATGATACAATTCAAGAGTTAAATATGATTTGTGTTGGTTTCCACTAAATCAGAAGTTATGAAATGACCATATATCAGCCATCAGCTGCAGTTTGGGATTTTTGTGTGTAATTCAAATGGCCTTAGCAGTTGTATCCAGTGCTGCTGTTTTCAATGACAAAGCTATAATAAACCTACTGTACAATATATGTCCAGCCTCCGGACAAATCTAAGTATAAAAGTAAGCAACACAGCTACAAACTTCTCCCAGGAGTTGGTGCAGACCAAAAGAGAGCTAAAAGGAGACTGAAAACTGGTCTGAGCAGCTGGATAACGTACATACACTTGCTCCCTCTGGTGGTGACGCAACACAAATCCAAATGAATGCAAATATTCCTCTGTTTCTGCTGGATGTGATCTTTTTTATTGCTGAACGGTAAACTAATTATTGTTCTGACCAAAAGCACAATTTATGACTTTGTCCCTCATACTTTAAAAGCCCTAACACTCACACATGTTTTCAACTATTCTAGCTGCTTGCACCTCTGCTCAGGTTGATGTTGGGAGGAACTATGCCTATGCTGGGAATTACGAGATATTATCTCCATGTACCAACTTGTCACATCCTTACCAATAAGAACGACTAAAGTGTAAATTGTGCCAACCAATATAGTTTACTCTATCTTGAGTGCAGTAATTTGAGATTCTGGACACCTATAAACACATCATTTTGCGTGATCATTCAAAGGTGTAGAGTGTTCTGGACACTACTTTGTTCGTTCCATTGTGAGAATGAAGGAACCGTCTGTACACGCCCACACAGTCTTGAGAATTTCAATTCAATTCAATTAAATTTTATTTGTATAGCGCCTATTCATAACAGAAGTTATCCCAGGAGCACTATTTACAGAGACCCAACAGTTCCCACCATGAGTAAGCACTTGGCTAAAGAGAGCTTTAATTTGGCTAAATAAGTGGTAACACCTGTGTAAGTTGACCATGGCTGCGAGTGGATATCAGCAAAGGTGTTTATTGCTAAGCAGTGGCAACAGGGAGGGAAAATCATGTAATAAAATCCAAAGCTTGCATTTTTGTTTAATGCTTGACACGACTGTGAAAATGTTACAAATTTTGATGTCAGGGCTTACTGAGTGGGTGTTGTTTTTTATTAGCCTGCAGCTTTGTCCCTATGATCGCAGCACATGCACTCATCTTTAGGTTTATTAATGTTACAGTTTTTGTTGAAAATGTTTTAGAGAGGTGACATTTTTGAGGCTGCAGTTTGTGCAGTTGTTGAGCTGTATTTTATTATACTGAGAGGTGTTTCTAATATTCAGTCTACACTCACTGATATAAATAGGGTGGAGACACCTCTCAGTAAGAGGCAATAAGGCAAAAGTAATATTTATGATACAAAATTCCTCAGGAATCTTCACACCCACATGATTTGCAACTAATGTTACCACCAGTTAATCATATTTTTTCCCCTCCAAATTTGAATAGTCCTCATAGCAGTGTGCTGTAGAGCAGAGCCCTATTGTTTTTAATTAATGTGACAGTTTTACTCGCACTTCAAGGAGAGAGGAATTTGGCAGCGAAAGGCGTTTCTGACCGTAGTATGAAATCGCTCACACTTACAGCACACAAAGACAAGGCTCCTGGCTGTAAATCTCACACAGACACACACACACACACACACACACACGGACATAGACAGACAGACAGATGCGCACATGCATATACACACACAGACACACACACACACACACACACACACACAGTGATTCAGGGTAATTGCAAATAACAAGCCTTCTGCTCTGACATCCAACCTCTATCAATTAAACATCAAATATTCTCCCCAACAGTTTTGCTGCCAAACACATTCTTTGTTCGTTTAATCCCAAAAGCTGAAACTCAACCCAGTTAAAATGCCAGTGATGAGCGAGCAAGAGAGAGGGAGAGAGAGAGAGAGAGTGAGAGACAGAATCAAAGCATGTTAATCGAGCCCTACAGTGCTGTGTGTGTGTGTGGGTGTGTGTGTGTGTGTGTGTGTGAAAGAGACAGTACAAGAAAGAGAAAGGGAGCCAGAGTTGATGTGCATGTAATCATTTTTATTCTTGAACCCCCACCTCTCTCTCTCTCTCTCTCTCTCTCTCTCTCTATGTCACTGTCTATAATGCACTTTGACAACACACAAATCACTGGAGTGGTTTCCCAGCAACAGGAGGGAGGGTTTGGGGTTTTGGACCCTGATGGAGCCAAAAACGTCTTCCAGGAGAGGAAATTGATTCAGTGGAAGTCTTAAAAAAATCCTTCAGATCCAGTCAATAATCACCCCCAGATAAAAAGGGGAGAAGGGGTATGTGTGTGTGTGTGTGTGTGTGTGGAGGGCGGGGGGGCATTGATTATCCTTGTTTTCTGCTACTCAGTACATGCAGACAGTAAAATCAAGAGCTGGGAGACAGCCAATGAAACAGCATGACAGTCTGATGAAAGACAGTGGTGCTTTAGGCTTGCGGTCAGAAATCAAAGTGTCCCCTCTCATCTCTCCCTGCTCTACCCTCTCTCAGTAGGAACCATGTTTTCCTCTCCCAACCACTCCCTCCAACCCACATTCATTTCTCTCTGCTTCCCCCCTGTGGCCACTAATGGTCACGACAGCTCTTTTAGCTATCAGTAAATGTGAACTGTAACTGCTTTTTAAGATTCAAGGACTCATTATATCCACCATGTGGTCCCACTTTACCATAAGACATACTTACAGGGTTTATACATTAAACTAATGACTTGCTGTTAGTTAGTATTAACCCTTCGCAGATTATTTATAACCTCTTATGATGTGGATTAATATAAACCTTTGAGTTGCAAGGTTGTGAAAACACGTTTCAAAAAGGATCCTAATATAAAAATATTAGATATTATGTGCCTCATAATATGTCAACCTGATGTTTTTTAATTTAAGCACTCTAACAGCTTTCTATTTAAAAAAGCATTAGTAAATCATTTGTATCAATCATGACAATTTACAAACCCTATGCCTAACAGTCAAGTGGTACATGAAATATAACTTGATCTTGAATCGTGTAAAGCAATGATTCTCAACCTGGGGTCGGGACCCACACTAAGGTTTGCCAAAGCATCATGTGGGGGTCACGACGCCTTCTTGATTTTAAGGGCCTCTATCAAACTGTATTTGTCTAGCCTATTAAGTGATAAATCATTCGGAATTGTATAAAAAAACCTCCTCTCTGATGCAATATTCAGAGGAAATAATCTGCACAAAATTCATCCAAATCACTCGTTTTACAGAAACTTCCTGCAGTTATTGCTCGCTGTTTGGGTTCATTGTGCTGTTCATCAGTTGTTTACATTGTTATTGTTATGCATTGCATATAATATGAAATATCCATAAAATACATCACTAAGTCAGGGGTCATTTGTTTACTCTATAGAAAAGGGGTCCCTTACAGAAAAACTGGTGTACAGAAGACTGTAAGTACTACAATAGTCCAACAGTCCAACAAGGAAGACACATAAATGTCCTACAGTACTTGGAAAACTAATATGAAGCTACTTTATTGTTCTTAGTTTTTCCCTTACTATATGAAAAGACGTTTTGCTTTAGTTTTAGGTAATGAGGTCAGCATTTCTACTGGGTGAATGAGTGAAAACCTGTAAAACAAATACAGCCTCTAAAGCTGTTCAAGAAATATGAACAGTATTTCATATTAAACAGTGCTGTTAGAAACCGACATGACATTAAACTACAAGAATGTGAATACAGTGTAATGAATTTGACATGCACCTTTAAGATTATAAATTCCATTTTAAATTTGCCATGAGGTTGCTCCTCAATTTCCAACTAACGTTATAACTCAGCCAGTAGCTTACAGGTTACACGGTTCTTGCATGCAGACATTGCCACATTGTAAACTGAGGCCGGAGGGCAACATGTCAATCACCTGCACAGCTGTAGGCTGAACTGAAGGTGGAAAAATATCCAGGTATAGTTAGTCATACTATTTCATCTCTTCCACTTGAAGCACTTTGGGCCAGTTTACAGAACAAATTCAGTCCAATTAAGCTAGCAGACAACCTACCTGTAACTCCCGCTCTTTCTCTGTCCGTGAAGCTCCAGGAAAACTACAGGGCGGGTTTCATTAAGGAGCCAGGTGATGTCGGGTGTCACAGTGTTGAAGTTCATAGTATGTTCACTGAACAAACCAACCCTCACGTTTAAACATATTATAAGCAGCCTTCTCTATCTTTTTTTCCTCAAAATGTCAAATATTCCGTTTCCATCTTGCTCCCTCTGCTGGTGACGCAGCTCATAATAGGGGACCTGTCAGTGCGTCTGCGCAGACTGAACTGATTCCACCTCCAGTCTCTTCAGGACCTGGCACTCATCAGTATCAAATGTGACAATAGAAGACTGGGCTTTTTCCAGCAAAAGAAGCTTTTAAAAAGTCAGGAATGGAGATTCTGGAGGATGCGTCTAAATATTTAAACCTTTTTTAAAAAAAGTTTTTTCACATGTTTTGGCAAAAACAGCATTTTCTTTTTTCTTATATATACATATTATATAATATTTTAAATTAAAAAACAGGTTGTAACCACTTCAACTGATTAGCATAACCCATAAAATGTTGTCTTATATTCCTGCAGGCCTGCTTAATATGCCTCTTTAAGACACAAACAAACAAACAAAAAATGTAACGATTTTATTCCAAGAGAATTATGCATGTCTCCTCTTGACCTCAGAGAGCTGTGACTCTGTCCTCCCTCTGTCTCTCGTTGGACGTGGACGTTGGTCTGCTAGTGATGCAGCTTGGCTCTCTCAGGCCCCGTCTACTCCAGCGGTTGTGTTTCTTGCAGAAGCGTTTGTGGTTTCGGTAAGAACTCTCTGTGGTTGTCTTTGAGTGTTTCAGCTCATCACTCAGTGTGTGAGTGCTGCAGTTCTGCTCCAGTATTTTCTTGTTTTCTCTGTGGGAGTCAGTGCTGGATGGCTCCTCCTGCTCTAGCTCTAGCTCCCAGACATCCTGCAGCAGGTAGGCGCCCAGTCGTTCAGGGAGTCCATATGTGGAGGGACTGGGAGCTGCAAATGATGATGTTGAAGGCACGCAGATCTTGGAGGCCACGGTCTTTCCAGGAAACAACACGTTCCTGCCCTCCTCACATGCAGCTGGACCATAAGCTTCAAAATCATACACCGTTGACACTCAGGCAAATGTGTTCTGTCAAAGCCTTTCATGTCATAGTAAAGGATATTTCACAAATCAGATGCTCAGCAGTTACCTTTCTTTCTCTCTTTTGGTTTCATCTGTTCTTTAGGAGAAGACATTGTGTCATCCAGAGTAGTTTGAGTTATGTTATCAGCTGGTGACATTCACATGGGCAGTATCATTTAAATAATAACGCATGTATATGTTATTTTTTAAACTTGTATGCCTTTATCAATTTTTTTCTGAAAGTATTATACATAGATTTAATATTTATTTATTTAGAAAAAAATAAATAAAATAATAATTTGACATCTTCAGCCCAAGTGACACACTTTTGAAAGATTTGTCAAAAAAAATGTAAATAATTAGTTCAGTTATCTCATGTCATGTAAAACCAAATTCAGTTAACTGAACTTGAGAAATCAGGTACAGTAAATTAAATTAATAAACAATTGTTTAGTCACACTGATACGTTATAGTTAGGTTTGTTTCCGATTTATATTTTCTCATTCAAGTCTGTATAGCTGTAGTTTCTCTTGGAGTCATTATTGAACCAGAATCAGTAAAAAGACAGCATGTTAAGCTGCTCACAGTGACGTTAGTCAGAATACAGTGTACAAGGGTACTGATTAAATTTATACTAACCTTTACTGTTGTTATACTGTTTTCATAATTATGAGTAAAAAACAACCATGACTTACGTTAACAGGTATTAAAGACAGCAGGCTTTCAATCATGTGTCTTTTCTTCAATCTACGAAAAAGAAGGATCTCTGGAGTTTCAATTCGTGTGCTAATATGTTGATCATGTTTCTTTGAAAATTAGTTAGCTCCCGTCAGCATATTTAATTATGATTTACAGTCAAAAGTCAGATGAACTCGTGTTTGTACTGAAATTGTCTGAAAACTATAAATGTGTAATTCACCTACAATTAATAAAATGTATATATTTACATTAAGTTAATGACAAAAGACTAGCTGAAGCTGCTGTACGAAGTTTCACAGTTAATCCAAATTCTGACACAAACATTAAATAAGCTCCCAAATAGTAACGTAATACCAACATGATGTATGGAAATGATGAGTTTCAAACTTGAATTAAGATAAACTATTAAACATTGCTACACTTTTTATTAATGTGCACTGTAAGACAAAAAAAATAAAAAATAAAGAAGAAATGGATGTTTTTGAAACGTTGACAGTAAAGTCATAAAGTCAATAAAGTTAATGGCAGCACCATGAAGAAGAAAAAGAAGCAGAAGAAGAAGAAGAAGCAGAAGAAGAAGCAGAAGAAGAGGACAACCAGAAAGGAGAAAAAGAAAAGGAAAACTAGAGCAGTAACATGAACCCGACATACAAGATACACATGAGAGGTTGGTTATGACAGCTCCAGAGCATTAAAAGAAAATCCCTCATAGTGGGAAATGATCTACAACATATTGTAGAGATACAGTACATACAAGTCATTACAGTATGTGTTAATGATACATTTGTTTTTAGAGGACACCTCACACCAGTGTTTGCTTTAAACAACCGCCTCAAAAAGGGAGGCAACAAAATGTTTCTGGGAAGAGCAAATAGTGATACAGCTTCATACACTCAAAGTACAGTATATAGTCCATTATAAGAGTACCTCATTCACCCAGTTACTTAAGTATCATAGATACATACTTGTGTTTACAAAAATAGTTCTTGTAAAGCTTGGTTATACTATTCCGATATATTTAACAAAAAGCCCTTTAAGAAATCATAATTATTTTTTATATTTTCTTTTGATTCTTTTCTGTTCTATCATCTACTTCACCACAGGTCAGGCTCCACCCACACAATCTTCTTCTGCTCCTCCCAGATGATGGTGCGCAGGCTGGTCAGAAGGGAGGTCTGGTCACACCAGGAGTCCGGAGCCACGCTGTGATACAGACACGGCAGCTTGTCCAACAGCGGCTCCTCGTTCCTCGAACACGCCAGCAGCTGCTCCTCCGACTGGCCGTGGCGCTGCAGCTTTGACCTGGAAGTGTAGGAGGGGTGAAGAAAATAAAGCACAAGATTTTGGTTGTGGATGGTTGTTCATAACTGTCCAAATGTAGACAATGTGACATCTCTGCAGTACATTTCCTCACTGCTACAGCTGAGTTTGATGTAAAAGAATGATTCCGTTCTCTCAACACTGAAACTCTTAATGTCAGTCCCTCAATCAGAGCAAACTGGTTTCTCTCTAGACGTAGTTTGAACTGTCAGCAATCGTACGAGGAGAAATCTTCATAGAAGAGGCAGAGATACCAGTTCTTCCACTAACAGCTGCATCACACATTGCAGTCATTTTTTGTCTTCAGTGGAAGAAGTGGAGAGGGGTGCTCTGAACTCATAAATGAGATCATAAGTTTAAATTAAATTAGATCATAAATTTGAAAATCAAGGGGGATACGCTTGTAATATGTCTGCCTTCTCCTGCAGTTGTCCACTATTTTCAGGTAATACAAAAGAAACAAGTAATGAGCCAGTTTAAATTTCAGTCACTGTAATTGCGTTTAATCTAATTTAAAAACATAATAAGTTACATTACTAGTTACTGCCAAAAGTAGTGGAATTACTCCCAACGAGGCTGGCCATCAGAAGTTTAAGCCTGTTGAGGGTGTTAAAGTAATTGACAATATAACAACTGGAATACATCACAAACTGATGATATGCAATGCTGCATTTAAAAGGCGTATGTCTTGTGCATGGAAGCTGTGGCAGATATCAGTGAGGTCATCAGTACACGTTCAAGTAGCTCAGTGCTTGTAGTGATTATCTGAATGATATCGGAGCAATGACGGGAGCTCCGTCAGTGTTTGTATGGAGAAGAAGGAGGACATTTTACCTCAGTTTACGTGCACTACGTGCAGACTGGCCAATGAAGATGACAATAGGGAAGATCTCGGACCGGTGCAGTCGACGCACGCAGTCCAGCCCCAGTGGCAGCACACAGTGAATCCCCTGTAGGAATAAGACATGGAATATCGGTTAAAAAATAGGATTTTTGAAAGAGCATGATTTAAGTGAGTGCTTTTAAATGAAATATATTTTGATGCATAATCTGTGAATCTGTGAATGTTTGTGTTTTACTTTTTCACTGATTTGAGCTGATCAGTGATTATGATGGATAATAGAGGCTGATGGGAATGTCATTAATTTTGCAGGTATTTGGTAATAAACCAAAAGTGAAATTTTGCCCTGATGATGGCGTTGAGATAAATGTCTCTATTTTAATTACGATCACAGAGAAGCATGACAACAACAGCTCAACAAATGAAGAGAAACTTCTAAATCCATTTTCTTGATGGTGCAGAGTGGCACAGACTTATATATATATATATATATATATATATATATATATAATAAAATATTTTTTTAACAGTTAATTGGTACAGTGATGATAGAAACACATAGCGCTGCACTGCGCTCTGGAGCTGCACGGCTACAGAGTTATCAGCATACAGTAGGTGTGCTTCTGCTTCAGATGACTGCAGGGATTTAAGGAAGTATAGATACATTTTTCTTAATCACATTAAAGATTATTATTTCCTTTCAATCCTCCTTCATACCACAATTTACTGAGCCACCTTCTTCTTCTTTTGGAGTTACAAGCCACTACTTAAAGTGCCCAAATATAAGATCTGTGTTTTATTGAATGTTCTGACCTTCTTCATGACTTTCTCGACACTCTGCAGGGTGTAGCAGCAGTTTCTTCCCTGCTCACACTCCTCCAGGATCTCAGATTTCTGCAGCCGGGCTGCGTGCTCACAGGAGCTCAGCACCTCTGTAGAGCAGAAAGGTGGGGAGGAAGGGGAGGGAGCATCAAAGAGGATCAGATATACTGTATATGAGGTCATATGACAAGATCATGAAAGAATGAATATATGAATATATTTTAAATTCTATATGAAGACAGAATGTTTACCTTTAGTAGTGTCATTATCTTATTTGATTTTCTTCTGCATGTGATGCGTTTTGTTCTCCTAAATAAACTAGCCCTTGTAATGATCAAATTTTCCCACAAAGCTCATTAAACTTTCATTTGACCCTATCGCTGCAGGGAACACTAGCAAGCATTTACTGTCTTTATAGCCTCCATCATTTTTATTACTATTTATTCACAAAGTTTATTTCCTTCCTGGTTTGCAGCAACAGACAAACATGTGATCTGTCAAGTCAAACAGGCTTATCTGTCAGCACAGTAAAGTGTGTCCCTGCTCTGTATCTAAAAATGTGTCTTCAATGGCATATGCTCCAGCGGAAACAGATATGAATGCACGTGGTTTCATTTCAGCTTATAGCAAGACAGTACTTCTTACCAGGCTGACAGAGCTGAAAGCCTTGCCAGTCTGCCAGCTTCTTGTCCAGGATGCGTCCCAGGACTGTGGGCAACAGCACGACAGGCCTGCAGATGGGTGGGTAGTGGGGGGTGACCAGGGTGTAGGGCATGAGGGATAAACAAGTTTTGGCTGCAGTGTCACCTACATAGGAAATAATATACGCTGTGAGGAAGGTAAGTGCTTTCATTTAAAAAATCCTAAAACAGCACATTCCAGAGACAGTAAAGTTAGATACTGTACTTTTGTGACTCTGCTGCTGTACCTGATTCTGTGCTCTTGGCCTTTTCATCCTCCACACTGACCCACAGTGGGTTCCTGCCCAGGCGCCCGGTGCTTACAATCCTCACAGCCTTCTCCTTGTTCTGGGGCCCCACACGCCAAACACTGACTAGCTTCTGACACTTCTTTGTTTGAAAGCTCATGTCTTCAATTGCTTGGATCAGAAGCCGTTGTGCCCTGTGCCATCAGAAAATCAGTACAAATTCTCAGTTTCAAGCATTGTGAGCAGTGATTTCATCCCTATGTTGACTGACTGACGTTTCTTTATGCTGCATCAGTATACCAACCTGTAATAGTTGGGAACAGTTCCACTCTGGAGGTCCAGTAGCTGACAGGGGTGAACCTGGCTTGCGTGCCATGAGTCCTCAGTGCCAGTGGGTCGTGTGTTGGTCACATGAAGGATGTCGTTGCAGGACACGGCCAGGGTTCCGTTGGGGCCAGCAGGGAAGGACATGTTGACACGTACGTAGAAGGAGTCTCCGGATGATGTCTCACTGCTCTGCAGCTGCTGCAGCAGCGCCTCGTAGTCTGAGCAGGCAGGAGGACACTTTAACTAAAGCCACTGTATGTTTGTATCTTTGACATTACGAGAGATGGGACAATATTATTGCGTATCGCAATAAAAAACACTTTCCATTATTGTGATAATTGTGAATATCCTCACAAGGCCTGACTTGAAGAACCTGTCGAGCTCGCCAGCATACAGTCCTATATTAATGTCCTGAATTCTTTTGAACAAGGGGAACTTTGTCTCAGTCTAACTAGTCTCGTGTAATGTTCCAAAGAATGTTACAGCTCAGCCGAATTCTTTGAAAGATGCAAAACAAAGACACCCTCATAAATACAGCAGGTTGATCAATAGTATATCCTTGTCGCTTTTTCAACCCATTGCAATTACAATAATTATCTAATTTGGCAGCTGGACATCACTTAGATCTCAAGGGAAACAATCTGCTACCTTAAGGCCTCATATCAGCTGAGGCCATAAACTTTTATTTCCAGCTAATGTCACTGTGATTTGTTATATGTGTCTTATGACTTAGCTCTTGCATGTGTGTGTGTGTTTATACATGTTTGTGTGTGTGCAAAAAATAATTTTATTTCTGAAGATTAAAGTGCCAAATGCCTTCTCTTGTTGTTGTTGTTGTTGTTGTTTGGTGTTGTTTTCCCCCAATTATTATGTAATTTCATGATTACAGCATGAGCAAATTGTCCCAATGCCACTGTTACTGGGATTAGGTGGTAAATTAAATTCGCTTATCATGGATATAGTGGAATTTGTTTCAAAGATTAATGAAGTCTTTACCATGGGAAATGTAATCTTATATCAATTATTTTATGAGAGGTATCACTTTGGCTTCATTTATGATCATATATACCAGTGTTTTATGTACAGGCTGTGGGACATACCATCTTGCCTGGATCGAAGGGAGAGGTGACAGAGACCCTTGATCTGGCCAAGAGCCCACATTGCTTCCTCTAAAGTGGAATCTTCCAGCACCATCCTCAGAGCCTTCTGGTTCTGCTCGCACTTCACCTGTAGAACAACAGTATTATAAGAAACGCCTTCACTAGTAGGCAGAATGATTAGAATTAGTGTTTAAAACTCACCTCCACAATCTGTGCCCCAGGGCTGATGCCGACAGTATGGGCAGCGCTCCCTTCTGTCACCTGGTGCACAAACACTCCGGTCTTATTGCCTCCAATCACTGCCAGCTGGCTGAGCAGCGACTCCCCTTGGAAGGAGATGCTGAGCACACGGCCATTAACGCGAATTGCTTTCGGACGGGAACGCATCAGGAAGGGAGGGGCTGAGGTTCTTGACAGGCTGGTGACAGAGTAGATTTGGATTATTGTAAGGATTGTATTGTTTCTTTTTATGGAAAGGGAAAATGTTTTTGAAGCTCAGCTTTAATGTGAGGATGTTTATCTTTGCATTAGATGAACAGTATGGGAATTGTAGCTTTTTTGGCCACTTTAGTGGCATTGCTTAAAGACTGTGTTGGTTGGTCCACCACTTTAGTCAAGACTTTAATTAATTAATGTCTCCACAGATTTTGGATGGATCGTCATGAAATATGGTGCAAACTTAAAAACTTGTAACAACTTTTTTTTATCTAGTGCAATTATTAACTATAACATAAATCTAATGCCAGTCTCATCAGCCTCAGCTTAAGTACCACTTAAAGTACCAACTAATAGGGATGCACTTATTGGGAATTTCTTCTTTGTTGTTATTTATTCCCTTTTGTTCAAGTGAAGTAAAGAAATCGACAATGATCTCTGCCTTGTTGCAGCTTAGTCTATTTCTCTTTTCACTGAAGATGTGAGCCGCAGAGCTGAAGAGTCGCTCATTGTCCGGAGCACATCTGTATTTGCGAGCAATTTGTGCCAGTACTGGAAAACAGACGTGATTATTTCTTCAATATCCAAAGTTGGAAATAACCAGCACAATAATTATCCAACACAAAATTGATAGACGGATAAATACTGCCACTGATGTCAGTGTGTACCACCTTATTTGCCAGGTCAAATATCAGCCAATATATTGGTGCATCCTAAACTAAGATGTTGACACTATTCTACATGCTAAACATCATTGTGAGGATGTTAGCAAGCTGATGTTAGCATTAAGCTCAAAGCACTGCTATGCCTAAGTACAACCTCATTGAGCTGCCAAAATGTATTTTAAAGTAAAACTAAATAAAGTCACATTTAATATTTGGCTGTGAATCCTTTACAGTCAATACAGCAGCCATGTTGACATGTTCAGTTGATCAGATGAACCTCAGACTGAGGTTAGGTGACTGACTGGTCTGGTCAAGAACACTGAACTGTTAATGAGTACTAAACATGAGACAGCACTTTAACCTCGGCCAGTGCTAATAATTGATGATTATATTTTTGGGGGGTTTTATTTCCTTTATTGATAGTGGCAGCTTAAGAGTGACGGGAATAGCGGGACAAAGAGAGGGGATGACATGCCACAGGTTGCAGTCAAACCTATACCCGGTGCAGCAAGGACTCAGCTTTGATACATGGGACACCAACTGTACCAGGTGAGCTACCAGGGCGCTACAATTATTGATTATAAATTTCCACAACTGTAATTAACCTCTGTTAAAATGTATTACAGTATGCATGGCCTTGAATTTACAATATGTCACACACATTCAGGTAGACTGCAGTCTACTTTAGAAATGCTTAATAATGAGACTCTTTATCTATAACAATGTTGGTCCAGTTGGACGCCTCACCCATCAGTGCTGGAGCCATTAGACGAGGAAAGCCTGGGTGTCTGCTTGTCTTCACTCCCCACTAAACAAAAGAGAGGCTGTTCAATGATTTGAATCAAGGTTGTTTCCCTGGAAGTTATGTGCCAGAGTTAATGGGTCACTTTACAACCCTGATAAAGGTTCAGCACTGAACAATAGCTAATGAAGACCCTGCCAAACAACAGCAACCCTCCACCCCCTGCACACAGAAACACAAACACTCGCTTAAACAAAGACAGTTCATATGTTTTCTATACATACCACTGGGGAGAAACACAAAGTCTTCCAAGAGAGAATCAGTCTCTGCTGCTTCCAAGCTGCAAAAGAAAAGAAGACAACAGCTACATGAACACCTTTATCAGATCACTCTGTCTCTATCTGCCTAATACATACTGATAATACTGAGCACTATAGGGTACTTTATTAAAGAAGTAAATGCCAACTGGGACATAACTGTCTGCCGTGCAACAACACAGAGACTGGTTTGGTGGGTAGGAATAATTACAGCCTGATGATGACAAAGCTGAATCTTTTGTCCATACTTTGAACATGAGAATACAAAAGTTCCCCTGAGCCAAAACACAAGAGGAATGTACAAAAACCGATAGTCTTTTCATGAGTGTTGTCTCTGGGCTTTGTCTTTCTCTTCTACTTGCAGCTTTCATGTGCTCTTCAATTTACTCGTGATCACACTTATTTGTCTTTCTCGGTATCATCTGATCCTAGTTAGCCCCTCTTATTCCTGTAAATCAATAATCCACCTGAATGCCATCATGTCAACAGAAGGGAATGCAGAGGTCAGTGAAACCTGCAAATCATCCTTCCTGGTGGGTGTGCTGCCAACAGGTACTAATAATGTACTTTCAAATACAAGCATGAACACAAACACACAGTGACATATACTGTAGAGGAACATGGAAACACACAAACACACACACCTGCCCTCTGCATGTAGAGCTTGCTCCCTTCTGCGGAGAGAGTCTGGACAGGGGGGCTCTGCGTTTCGGGATCGGACACTACTTACTGCAGCATCTTCACACTGTACACATACATACAGATACACATGGTACACAGAAACAGAAATTCATTACAGTATAAAAAATAAAAAAGTGCAATACACAAGAAAGGATTAAATCAGGTAAAATAATCAGCCACAAAATATACTGACTGATAAAAAGCAGACCTACTGTTTTTTTTAAATATATTTTTCTTTGGGCTTTTATTGACTTTAATTGATAGTGACAGGAAAGAGGGGAGAGATAGGGGATGATACGCAGCAAAGGGCCACAGGTCGGATTTGAGCCCAGCGCCACTGCAGCAAGGAATCAGCCTTGGTATATGGGGCACCGGTCTTATTCTATTTGTCAACATATCCCACAAAGAAACTAAAAACAACAATGTGACACATCCCCAAACCCATTGGTTCCTACTGCCAACATAAATCTTTAAAAACAGGTTGCTAATATATAGTTTATTTTAAAAAAAAGAAGCCAAGCCTATTCTAACAGTAGTAAAGAGTGAGTTTGTGAGGGACTACTTTCAGCGCCGTTGAGTATTAAACAGTAGTGACAGTAAATGTAGGAATGACTCAAACTAAACTACGATGCCTATGTTCATCATAATAAAGAAACACATCACCCAGTGCAATGCGGTGGCACATTTGTGTGCTGTTGTTTTTTGAAACATTTCTTTGGGCTTTTATTGACTTTAATTGATAGTGACAGCTGAAGAGGGACACCCCTAGATTTCTAATAGTTTTGGGGTGTTAATGGAGCTCTATGGTACAGAGGAATACCATATACAAGGCTTAGGACACACAGACAATACTTCTTGGTAAGATAAGTTCATTGGTGGTTTTGGTTTTCATGGTCTTTGTTGACAATAAGAAAACTACAAACTATTGCCAGCCTTATTCGTTAACACAAGCAGCTGTATAAGTACTAATAAAAGACATGAGTGATGATTTAGGATCGGGAAATATTTGAAGAATCAGACCAAACATTTGATGCCAATGTTTGATACTTGATGCTTGTTCAGTGCTCAAAAAGTATCCAATATCCAGTGCCTAATAAAATATGATGACACACTCACCTCTGAATTGAAGGAACTGAGATGGGACATAGGATTGACAGCATCCATGCGGCGAAGTCTACGTCGGGTTGGGAGTGGGTCTTCTTCAGAGCTGGACCTAGGGCTCCCCCAGTCCTCCACCCTCTCCTTTGACAGAGACACAGAGCACTTCATTAACATTACCATCATATTATCATTAGCTCTGTATGTGTTGTGTTTATGTACGCATGAGAAATTACATCATCAGAACTCTGCAGTTGTTTTCTAGAGCTGCGATTGGCCTGCAGGCTGAAGACCCGCTCTTGGAACTCCACCAGCTGACACCTCAGGGTGTCCTTCTCAGCCAGGACGCGGGCGATCATGGCCTGGGCCTCATCTCTGGACAGATACGCCTAGAAGCACAGGAAGAGATCATATTTATTTTAATACTTGAAGTATGCAGAATCGACTGCACACAAGCACACCTTGTGTCTTAATCATGCAGAGACACTATCAGAGAGCATGACAACCACAATGGCTGTACGTCTTAGTACGTCTTTGTCTTAAGTATTAATGTATGTGCTAGCTTCACTGCCAACAGAGGTGTGGTATGCAGGATGTTGTCAATGTGGCGTCTATGGCTGGCAGCTGTTTTATCTTTTGACACATTCTCGTTAACCCACAACTCAGAAACAATGCATGATAGAAACTTGAGTTGCAACAGTGTTTGAGTCATATGCCTCTCATTGTTTATAATGCCTGACAGAAAAACTGCTGCATTTATTTTGTAAGGAAAAACGGTAGCGTTAGCTTGCAGTGGCTATTTCGATCCTAATTCAGGGTTTCTGCAGGTTCCAACAGGTTAAATTTAATACTTTTTAAGACTCAAGATTCAAGATTATTAATGCAATTAAGACTTATTTTATGTCTCTACCCGCAGAAAAGTACAAAGAATATGAAGGAAAACTGGTATTGGGTCCATGTGGGTTTTGGTTTTGTAGTTGTTACAGTACGATCAATATCAACTGTTCCCACTGCCACGTTAAGTCACATTAACTTTGTTGATTCAAACAATTTTTAAGACCTGTCAAATTCATATAAGACATAAGACATTTTAAGGCCTAAAATTCTATTTTATTATTTATTTTATCATGATTCCTTAATCCCAGCCTGATGAATATAGTAGAACATCGGGCAGTTCAAGTGTTGGTTCTGTTGTTTTAAAATTCAGGAAGATGGATTTTCTGCCAGCCTTTTTTTAAATGAAAGAGCAAAGTATGCCAACACCATAGTCACGTTCATGCAGCTCCTGTGTGTCACACATCATATAGCAAGCATGAGCCACAAATTACATCCAGGAGCTGTCAAGTATTATTACTGTACAGTCATGTATTGTTGGTTACAATGCAGCTCCAGCGGAGCAGCTGGCAGCTGCAGAATGTGAGTTGCTTCTGGCTGCCTGACAGTTGTTAGGATGTGGGTGGATTGTTCATTTCATTCTTTTCAGAGGACAAGCCTCAGTGATGTTGAGAGGAGCATTTGGAAGATAAACTAGAAACTGTTACGGCATGGCATCGACAGGTGAAATGTAGCAATACACAATGTTTTTGTAAAAGTTGTGTAATTTTACTGCTCACTGACAGAGCGGAATAATAGTATTTCCAGTGGTGTAGTGCAGGGTATACGCAGTTGTGCCGAGTATACCCATGGCACTCTGATGCACGTCATTCAGTAGTGTTCTGCGAGCTGATATTTTCCCCTAGGATGGTGAAGGCATGACATAGTTGTTCAATTTTCTTGAGTGGAAGGAGTAGGGAAAAGGGAATACTTCACTCAAAATGCATAATTTTGCACCTGTCTTTGGGCCAGTATTGATTGTGAAATCTGTACCTCTTGTGGCTAATGCTAATTGCACAATGATCCTCAGCCCTGAAGTCAAGCAGCTGAAGTTAAGTTGCTACTGGCACATTTTTGGGAGACTCAATATGCAAGAGTGGGGTGTTTATCCTTTGCTGGATGGGTCACGCAAAAAAACATTTGTGCCATAAATGAAGAGTATACCCACTTCTTCAGGCAGACCACTGAGTATTTCCACTAGAGGAGAGTTTAAACAGTGTCCCTTATCAAAGAGACACAGATAACAACACACCCACACACACACACACAACAGGGAGTTAAAGACAGTGAGAGCCAACAGAGCTGATTGATATTCCATACTCTGCACAACAGCACTGCTGAGACCTGACTGCTTGACATTTGAACAGGATAAACAAACAGCATGATGTGACGCAGGATACGTTCCAGGCAAAACACATAAATAAAATCTAAGACAGAAAATACTGCTTTGGAAACCTGCATTAATGTTTTAAGATGGCAGTGTTTGAGTGATGGATTGTTCCTTACTTGGTCTCTCTCTGCCTGCAGCTCTCTTATCTGGTTCTGGATCACGGTGTTCTTCTGCTGGTGCATGTTACAGTCCAAGGTCAGCTGCTGCGCCTGGAGGCTGAGGCACTCCTTCTGTTCCAATAGCTGAATGCAAATACACACACATACACACAAGTGTTACACCAATGTGGCCTCAAGTGTTTAAGGGGTATAATACAGATGTACAGGATGTGATGAGCAAGTCAATGCACTGCTAAGCCATGGAGGAGGAAACTCTCTAACATACGTTTTATTGTATTTCACACTGCATGTTCAGAAAGTAGCTTAAATTTGAAATTCTCCCCTTTTGCATGTCATGGCACTGTGTAGCAATGGGATGATTATAATATAATAATATTACCTGTTCCAGGAAAAACACAGAAAAATACAAACACACCCCTTGTTTATCTGCGAGCAGCTTTTCATTCTCCTCTCTGTAACACCTGAGCTGCTCTGCAAGCTCCACCTGGCTGTCTATGGCCTCAGCCAGGTCCTGGGCCAGGATGTCCTGACGAGCCTGACAGAGACACAATAGTGACAGCAGGTGAGACACAAACATGAATACACAGGTGGCTACTGACTCTTTCACTGTCTAAAGATTATGAATGAAAGCTGTCCCTATTCCAGATAAATCAGCGAATAAACACAGAATGACTATGTGATTATTCTCACCGGGTCCAGTTTTTCCACCTTCACCAGCTGGCAGCGCAGACTCCTGACTTCCTCTTGCAGTTGTGGCGTCTCAGCATGCGGGGCACACCTGAGCGAACGTCGCTTCTGGAACTCGTTCTCCATTTGTACCTTCTGCAGCTCAGTCTGCAGCTGATACACCTGCCAACACAAAACAACATGCTGATGGGGCTACAATTATCTGTGTTTTCCCAATTAATTGTGTGTAATGTAACCAACAACCCCACAGTCCACACAGGTATTCAATTTACAGTTATCTAGGGGAGAAAAGCAACAAATTGCATTTGAGAAGCTGGAGCTAGCAAAGACACTGGAACCTGCACACTTCCCATAATGCAACTTAGTGGCATCTTTCATTAGACATTAGATATACAAATCTTTCAAACTCTGTGTCCGAGGATTGAACTGAAACACTAGGCCTTCTGCTAAAAACGTGCAGTCTCCAAGACCAAGCCAAGATTACTTGGAGTGATGTCACTTTCTCAGGCAAAGCCCTTCCAGAGCCACAAAAGACATTATATAACTATGTTCACACGCTGTGTTCACAGTCCCTCCCTATGCACATGTAGCATAATCTTCTAAATCTGCATCAAGCTACAATTCTCAGATTTCAGTTCTTTAACCCTGACCTTTTGGGGACTTTCCCCTGAGATCACAGCTTTGTGTTTCAGGGAGGAGAAACTCATTCTATATAGAGGTAAGAGTTAGTGACGATCACTGACCTGCAGGTTGAGGTCATGAAGGCGCATGTTCACAGCAGATCTGTCCTCAATGGCGGCTGTGTAGCGCATATACAAGTCACACTTCTCATCCTTCAACTTAGTGACTTCATGCTGCAGAGAACACAAGTGTCTCCGCATGCGTTCATTTTCAGACTGAAGGCATCTTGACTTCTCCTCCTGCTCCATTATCTGCCTGATCTCTGACTCCAGGGAGACACAGCGCGCACTCATTCTGCTAGCCTCACACCGCGCCTCCTGGAGCTCCTTCTGCATTCCCGTCACTGCTCTGACCAGATACTCTGTCAGCTCTGAGTACTTTATCAGGCCTGCAAGGAGAGCAAGTCATACATACAGCAAGTGATAGAAAAAGACAAATATCCCCTTAAAATGCAGGGAGACATAAAGACACTGACCACTGAATCTAGAGGGCTCAGTGCTGGGTTTGCGTCCAGTAACTTGGGTGTACAGGGTCGGGTAGTGGATCATCAGGCTGTCCAACAAGGCCACAGCACCATTCCTCCCCTGGGTCCTCAGCAGGTCCAGCATGTAGCCTGGAAACAGTAGAGGACAATATAATACTAATCTACTATAATCTACTAACCACCCAATAAGTGGTTGACCTGCAAATTAAATGACAAAATAGGATCAGGACTCTATTTGGGTCTACACTTTCCAGCAGTGGCGGCTATGGCTCAGAGGCAGAGCGGGTTGTTGCTTAATCGGAACGTTGTGGGTTCAATCCCCGGCTCCTGGTGCCACATGTCAAAGTATCCTTGAGCAAGATACTGAACCCCAAATTGCTCCCAATGCCGTGTGTGAATGTGTATGAATGAGTTAGTTTCTGTTCTATGGACTTTGCCATCATTGAGTGAATGTGTGTGAAAGGGTGAATGTGGCACGTAGTGTAAAAGCGCTTTGAGTGGTTGGAAGACTAGAAAGGCGCTATACAAGTACAGGTCCATTTACCAGTGCGCCATCCTTTTTCTCAGTGGGGTTTTAGTTTCTTACAGTTAGGTTGTGAATTTTTGTGCCTTAGAGACCATCTCCGTATCTGACCCATCCTAACATTTGACTCAACAGATTTAATCTAAAGATAACCAACAGGGAAACATTTCTTAGAGAAAGCAGACAATAGTTCCCTACAGTAATCAAGATCAACAATTAGAAGAATGTGTTCATAAGCAGCACAATGAACACTCAAAACTCTACCAGGCTGCATAACATGCTGGCTTTACTACCTAATACTTGTTCTCAGTGCTGAAGAGTTGCTGGAATTTAAAAAACAGAATGCACTAGTAGTCTACAAACTGAGGCAGACTACTGTTTCTCTACAATCCAAGAAGTAAAGTGATAAATCTCACTGGTTCTCATGCTGCGGTTGGTGAGGTTGTGGCAGGAGAGGATCTCATCCTCGTCCATCTCTGTGAGCACCCTGGCCTGCCTCAGGTACGGGATCAAGGTGCATGGCCGCACCCCCAAGGAGATCCGGTGGCGGTTGTCATTAATCATTTCCCACAGTTCCTCCTCGCCCATCTCTCTCAGGTCTGGACCCTCAGGAACACACTCCCCTGCCATCCTGAGCGTGTGTGATAGCGAGACGGTGCTGAGTCGATGGGCACAGCTGGGGCAAACGGAGCGAACAATATAGTCACGTTGTCATTACTGGAGGTAGACGTTGACTGGAAGAGGGAGAGAAGCACAATAAAAGGGCCAGGCTCTTTCCACGCCCCTGAGTGTTTGTGTCAAAGCATTTGTGTGTGTTTATGTGTGGGCGTGAAGGAAAACCGGTAAGACAAGACCACTGTGAAGCTGAGCAACAAGGGACTGACTCTGTGAATGCTGGCACAAACACAGGCTCTTACACACAATCACATTTCAGACACACACACGCACACACACACTCACTCAAAAACCATTAGTCAAGTGAACCACACATATTTCCCCACCATTCATGCTTTTTGTAACATTTGTTTGCTTTACACAGCTAATTCAATATCTAATCACATCATAAACCTCTGCCGCTTTCTATTAAGGACTGCAGTCAGATTTGTTTGTTGAACGGAGTCTAGTCATGGCCTGTGGCAGGAATGAACAAAGCCCCTCTCTAACACAGAAACATTCGACGACATGAGACTTCGCCTTAATAATTCCTAATCACAGTAAAGCAAACACACATACCACACCGCTGACAGGAGCAAACACTGAGCTATGAAGTGCAAAGTCCTCTGTTAAAGAAGGAAATAAGGTTGGGGGGCGTAGCTGGCGGGAGTCAGCGCAAGGTCAAACAGCTTCCCATACTGTTCTCTAACTTACCACCTTTGTGTGTCAACTTACTGTTTACTGTACTGCAGAGGGTTTATGCAAACAAATGAAGCCTACTGTAAATGATATACTGGCATAAGGGGGAAATGGAAATCTAGTGAACTTACCAGCTATAGGAAGCATGGAAATTTAAATAGCTAAAAGACTTTATCTTTTAACTGTAAAATGAAAGAAAATAACAGATTTTCTTTCATTAAATTCAAATTTCAGACGTTTTCAAATCATGTATGTAGAGCTTGAGCAAAGGACACAAAAAAACACACACAGCTATTTATGTATTTCCAATTAATAATGTTAATTAATTAAAGGTACGTGTGCCAGTAAATTGCAACACTGAAAACTGTGAGTCAGTGAATATGATAGGGTAGCACCCTGACAAATGACAGTAACACTCTTCTGCTCAACAACAAGGAGTAACAAAATATTATCTTGTCGCCCCCGCATCGTGTACACGATCCAGTATTCTATAACCTGACCAGCCTCTGTCAACAGCACAAAGCTTGCTTATCTCCATCTTTTTCATTTCATATGGTGTGGGCAACTGAACGCTACTGGGGATTTCCCCATACAACATGTATGATAATATACAAGAAAAGCAGTAAAAAAGGAACTGGTCAACATAACTTCCTGAAAAACAGTTCCCACATACTTCACTGCAGAACAAGTGTGGAATTGGAAATTGGTAATTAGACTAAAAGGTTATCCACCACAACTCTCTATACATACTATACTTGATAGTTAACTTTGACTTTGGAGTTTGACGGAGAGGGATGGAAGGAAAACATTACCGCCTAAGAATTTCAATCAGTTAAGTCTTGAAGGCCTGTTTTCAAGAGGAGCACAGACACTTTGTAAGCATAAAATACATTTTAAAACTAACAGCAAAAGCTTAACAAGCAGTTGCGGTCTATATACAGATGCAGGTTTTCTGCATAGAGTGGAGAATGTTCTCATTGTCTTAGCTCCTTAAAGTGAGACTATGGGTGCATTACGATCGGCTAGTAGTTCTCTGGACTGCACAGCGTATTCAGCCATGTTAAGTTAGATCCTTAACTGTATGGAGCAAACAATGCTCAGTTCAAAAGTACCTGTGAACTGTGAAAGGAAGAACAACGGGTCATTGCTTTGCTGGAAGGGAAGCAAGCATTATAATAACAGTAGCCTATAAAATAATCTGTAAACAATCTGCATGATAGAAATCTGACACCATAAATCTTGTAAATGAATCAAATCACATTTGTTCACAAGTTATGTACATTTCAGTGGACGTTGTGTCATGGTATTTGTTTTTGTTTCGATATATATTCAATATTTTACTTATTATTATATTTTACTTACACTAGTCGTGTAAAATTTCCACAGTAGTGGCAACAGAATAATAAGGAAGTGACTTAGTGACTTGCAAGTGTTCTGAATGGAGGTATCTTATCAAGGGAAGTTCCCTTAACCGACATTCCCTCAACAAGGAGTAGGGAGTTCTGTTTATGTGCGCTATGGAATGGAACAAAGCTTATGTAACTTTTATTAAATGGCAGCCATTGTAGCCAGAACAAAATAATGTATTAAGTACTGTAACAGTAATACAAGCAAAGAATAATCATAAAGTCAGTGAATTGACACAGTAATGTCAGATATACAGCAGCATCTATTTATTGTATTCAACTGAGCAAAGGCATATGTTATTGTTTACGAACTCTAAATTTAATAAGAGAAAGAGTGTTATATTTCTTCTTTCAAAGTTGTATTATTTACACTTTATGGTCACATAATTAGGTCAGACTAAAAGCATGCACACACTGCACAAGTGTCATAACCCTGCAGGTTACTGGGAAAGGACTTTCTAATGATGGTATTAATCCAATAATCACGACCGAACCCTGCTCTGGGCTGGACCTGGTCTGTATCCAACAAGCAGTTCACATGATTGGGAGTTGGTTTGGCATAATTATTTCACTAAACAGGTCTCAGATGATAAAGAAGTTGACAGATAAAACAGCACAGGCTAACAACTCAATATTTGTATTACAAAATATACGCTAGTTTCAAATTAGCATATATTGAAATGATGAAAAATCTATCTTCACTTTCTTTAAAACTTTAAGGAAGTGCAAGCTATCTATAATGATGTATGAAACTATTGATGGGAGACCAATGCTTAAGGTGCAATTTAAAGAGTACATTAAAGATATCTATATGGGTTTGGTGTTTCAGAGTTTAGATCTAGGATAGATATTAAGGCCAGAGGAGTGTGAGAAGGAGTTTGAGTAAGAGAAGACTGGGTTCTTTGTATTCACTGCTTGCTCCAGGGCCTATGCATGCATGCTGCTAGTTCTAGCGACAGTCTGCAGGGTGCCCCCGGCGTGCTGTGGAAAGTCCAAACAGTGAGAGAGAACACGCAATCTGAGGAGCCAGTTCCACAGCATTGCACGAGGCTCAGTGGCCACCCATGCAGGAGCTTTAGATTTGTAAGTGTTTAAATCACATCATGTCGCTGCTGCATAGCCTACAGCAGATGTGCTGCCATCAAGGACAGCCTGCAGCTACTTGGGTCAGCTCTTTAAAGCCGCCAGATATTGGACACGTGCCATATGTTGTTGATTTGAATGCAGACATGGAGTGAAACGCATTGCCACAGTGCTGCTACTGTGAACAGGCTTAACTATGTATGTGAGTAACATCTCCACCTATGGTGATGGCAGGTGCTTTGTTTTATTATGCACTCCCACACAGATGAATGAACACTATATTACTGTAATAATTAAAACATATTTCAGATTCCAGCTTTAATTGCTCCCCGATAATTAAATACAGTAATATTGCCTACCTACTCAGCTAAAGCTACTGTATGTTCGAGATCCACAAGATGTCCTAAAACAGAACTACCCCAGCTGAACATGTTTGCTACAATTCACTGCAAATGGCGGAGTTGACCCAACAATAACAATGAACGCAAGAGCCCTGCGCCGCGGCACGTGACAGTAATAAATGTAATGGAGCCTTGACACAGTGCAGAGCAGCACAGTAGCTCCACACATTCCTTTTTGTATATTGTTGTTGGTGGAGGCCAGTTACATTCACTTAACACTATTTCTTTTTATTTATTCTTTATTTAGACAACCAGGTGCGGTTTGTATATTTCATGTAAAAAGGGATTTGTTTTCTAAAACAAGACTGCATTTCCAGTTGTTGTGTTGTTGTTGTGAATGTTTTGTGCACATAAATTAATCTAAATGAGGACCTTTACCTAAAATTAAGATGATGCAAAAAGTAGACAAAGGGAAAATAAGTAAGTTATGCGATGGATGTCACTAAACACTGTTGAAATAGTTATTAAAAACGCATGAGGCGGTGAAGAGAATTAAGCATCTATGAAATATGAGCATAATGACCTAACACAGGATATAAAGAGCTTAAATGTGCGGCTGTTTCGCCTTGTTTCAGTAACTAAACACATAACAGGTGTATGAGCTCGATGCATGATTGTACTGAATGGTTTCAGGTATCCAGTTAGATTTTATGTCATTGCTGCATTAATGGTTGACACAATGTCACTAGCAACTCCTATTGTATTTACTAACCTTTCATTGTTTAAAAGCTCCCATACTGGCAACTGGACTGAAAAAGCCAAACGCTATGAAGGATTCAGTTATTTGTATTACTGTTTAATAAATCTTTATTTTATTACATTCCAAGCATAAGAAGAATGCAAACATTAAAACAAATCACCTCTCACTCTTCTCAGGTCATCACTTAGCTAATCTTTCCTTCTAATCTTTGCCTCATTTTTACTCCCTTTCCATCCTCTGCACTCCCTCTCCTGTACTCACTGCCATGTCTATCTTCCCCTCACTCTCAGGACTTGGGCTACAGGGCCTGTGTGTGTGCTGCCAGTGCTAGCGACAGCCTGCGGAGCGCCCCCTGGTGCTGGGGGAACTCCTCACACACGCGGTGCAAGATGCTGCTGGCAGCGTGCACACGCTCCTTCTGGCTCTGCAGAGCGGCGTCGACAGATTCGCTGGTGGACGAGGCTTTGTAGCTGCCCTCATGCACCCCCTGCAGCTTCTTGGTCCGGTTCTGTAGAGTCACTAGGTGGGATAAGTTCTAGAAGGAGGGAAGGATAAAGAATGAGAGTGGATAAGTTTTGTGCTTTCACTTGTTAGAAATGGTACAACACTGAGCACAGAAGGTGGAAAAACAATGAGTACTTATTTCTGGTATTGTTCGTGTGTGGGAGTGGTTTCTGTGTGTGGAAACTGTGATGCTTAAGTCAGTAATGCAATCCCCTGTTTACATGACCTGAATGGAGACTTGATTGACGCAAACCAGTTCCAATGTATTACTTTGGTAGCTTAAACAATGAAGAGGGTGCACTTGTATTACATCACAAGACAGTGAAGAGTCAGACACACACACAGCAGGTAAAAACCAGCATAGTATACAAATATCTACTGGCAACACACAACATTTTACAGCAGATTTGCAGTATATTTACATGGTATTAATGTGCTGTAATGCAGTACACATGTGCTTCTCACCCTGTCTTTGGTGTCCTGGAGATTTACAAAATCGGGGTCAAGGGTGTAGCTGGTGCTGCAGAGTTCTATCAGCTGCTGCTTCTGCTGCGCAAGCCCGTCGCTTAGACTCACCTGGCTCTCCTGTAGCTCCCTGATCACTTGCTCACACTCTACCACATGCTGAAGACATACATATTGCGTATAAGATAATTGTTCAACGTACTTTAGACACATACAGAAGCAGGACCTCCTACCTTGTGTGTGTCCTGGATCTTGCGCTGCAGGCCCTGTATGATGCGGCTCAGCTCGCCCTTTGTGGTCTGTTTGTGGGAGCTGTGGGAGCTGTGGATCATGGCTTCCCTGCGCAGGACGATGGTCTCCCTCCTCGCCACTGTTGCTTCACTCTCCCTCAGAAGCTGCTCCTGCTGCTTCATCAGCTGGTTGAGTCGCACCTGCACAGACACACGTTTTGAATGGAGTGCACACATATTAAATAATTGATAAAAACATAAATACAAGCATGCAAACCATTACTAGGGCATGGTGCTTTATTGACTTACCTTTTAAAATGACTTTACAGGCCCAGACATATATTTTTGCTTGCTCTAAATGTTTGCTTCACCCAAACCACAAACTATCATAGTCTTTTTTTAAAATGGACTATTACAAAGATACTAGCATATGATTCACATAAAAAGGTGAATTCTAATTGCATAACTTTCTTATTTTATTGAGGTAATAACACTCAGTGACTCCTCACTCCATACATAACCCCAACAAGAGGAGACTGATCCCATCCATAAGATTTCTTCTTAAGTAGGTCATCATTAGTGTAACTAACTAGCAAAGATGAATAGATTTTGAGAGCTTTTTGGAAGTAAAGGAGATAAAGAAAATAGCCTTTTTTTCAAGTCAAGATCTGTTGGTGAGTCTGCAAACACCATATATTTTATAATGTTTCACATTGCAAAAAAGGATAGAAACCCCATATATATATATATATATACTGTGATTTAAAGTGTTCTAATGTTGTGGAACTGGCTCCTCAAGTCTGTTCAGAATGGTGTTAGTGGTGTACTCTGTATTCACCACATGCTCTTCAATGTTTACTGGCTCAGTGTACATACACAAGTGCACATACAAAAGGCAAACAGCTGGATGAAAACTCAAGATTACCGTTTATTGTCTAATAAAGTATGATCCTGTTGCATGCGGTGTGTTTACCTCCATGCGGTGTATTTCAGCCTTCATCATCTTCATTTCTCCCTGGCCCACCTCGGAGTCGACAGCTGAACGAGTTTCTTTTACAAGCTGGATCTTCTTCTCCCACAGCATGATCTGTCGCCTGTTGGCCACTCACACAGATGAAACACACACACACAACAAAGGACACATGTAAAAACTAGTACCCAATGTATGAGGTATGAGCTCTTACAGGGAAAATTATGTATTAGAAAAAGAAACCTTGATATTAAATTAGTATATTAAATATCTCAAACACCCAGGAGGTTACTATACACCACCATAAATAGTTTGTATAAATCCAGCAAAGATTCATAAAAGTAGGAATGTTTTAAATAAGTTATCAGTGAATCAGATTCTTTTAAGAAATATAAATTCATATGGAACAAGCATAAAATGAATATGTGACTGACTCAGCCTCCACCAGAGTGTTGAGGAGTCTCTCTTTTTCCTCCTGGGTCTTCTCGTGCTTCATCTGCATCTCAATAGACTCCCACTCTGCTTCCTAAACACATGATATCTTGTTTAATAACCAATTCACTATTAAAACTGCTAAAAGTTCAACTAAAGAATTGTGCTGTGCCTTGAGTCTGTGAATGAAGTCTGTCTCCATCAGTGTGTTCTCCTGCTCCAGTGCCAGGCTGAGCTGTCCGTTCTTGCTCAGCAGGGTGTTGAGCTTCAGCAGGTCTCCTTTCAGCATCTTTGCATTCTTCTCCAGCTCCCTCTCCTCACGGTGCTCCACTTCAATCTGACCTGGTGGGGTCGGAGTTGGTTTAATGGTAGCTCATCTGGGAGTGCTGATGTTGTTAAACACTTAAAATGTCACAAATAATAATAATAACATTCTCAGACTTGCTGTTTAGCTCATGATCACTGGTAACCTGCTTATAACTTACTGACAAGTGACCTGTGTACCTATTTATGCATATGTGTGCTTCTTTAGAACTGTGTTACATACTCTCCAAGCGTATTTTCTTCTGCTGCATGACAGTGTACTCTGTTTGCAGTTTGAGCATGTCCTTGCTGTTGGCCTCTATCTCCTGGGTCAGTCCTACTAGAGTCTCTTGTCGTTTCACCCAGAGCTTCAGGTCACTGTGGATATTCGCTGCCAGCTCCTCAATCTTAGCCATCAATGTCTCTATCTTGATATCTAGAGGACTCAGGTCCTCATGCTGGGAATGGAAGCACACAAAGGCAGCATGTTTTTATTTTTATATCCGATCGTAAAGATCGTCTAATAAATGTATATGGACAGACAGACAACCACGCATTACTGCCTCTCCAGAATCTCTTACCCCAGTGCTGGCTGCAATTTCACTGATTTTTTTGGTATAGCTGCTGATGGTGGACTGATTCTGCCTGATTTGCATAACAAAGGAAGAAATCTTAGCCTGGTTGGATGTCAGCAAGTTGTTGTACTTTTCGATCTCCTTGTCTAGGGCCTCCTGGGTGTGGGCCAGGCTGTCCAGATGTTGGCTGAGCTTGCTGCTCTCCAGTCCCACCACCACTACACAGTTCTCCAGCTGCCACAACTGAGAAACCTAAAGAGGAGAGAGAGAGAGAGAGAGAGAGAGAGAGAGAGAGAGAGAGAGAGGCGATGAGCAGGACAAAAACGCAATATCTTTATGTATTTTTATCCTTAGCATATTATACATGTGCTGTTTTTGTGTTCTAACTCCAGCACATTATATCTTTGCCACTGAATCACATTACATAATTATGTGTTAAAAGGGCAATCCTCAGATTTTCACACATGAAGTTCAGTTTACTCATCTTAAGGAGTACTCCAGCGGGCTGTGAAACAGTTGTATATTGCACAACGTGTACTTGTGTATGTAGTGCATGGAGAAATTAAAACTCACCGTAAAGAAAACAAGAATGCTTTAATTCCTGTTTAGAACATGGGGTAGTGTTGCACTTCAGCCTTGTGTGGTTGAAATTAGGTAGTATTACAACAACACTGTTTTCTCATAATGTTTTCACAGATGAAACAAAAGCAAAAACTTTGAAAGATGATTGTATGAAAAAACAAAGGATTCTGTATGTTTGACCCATACTAGGGACTAAAGTCAGGACATCTTGGCTTCAATTTTCAATTTAAAAATAAAAAATAAAACTTTTTTTTGCAAGTTGCAAGTGTATTAATAAATCTCTGGAGCACTCCTTTAAATAAGACAAGCCCAGTTTGAAACTGGGGGTCTAAAAATATACTGTATATTAAATAATAGATAATGTTACTGAAAAAACTATTACTTACATGTATATGGAAGGACTCTTTACTACACTTTACCTTCTCCTTCTTGAGTGATGCTATCTTGCTGGTGAGCCTTTGGGAGTACTTGACAGCTTTGTTGTGGGTGAGCTTCTGCTGCATGTGGGTCATGATCTGGTCCTCCAACTCCAGACGCACAGAACTCTCTTTCTCCAGCTGCCTCCTCTGATCGTTCAGTTCAGTCTGGTGGGCGCTGGTTTCCTACAACAATGAAGGTAAAGAATTGGAAAGTAGAGCGGTTATAGAGGGAAAGAGAAGGCAGAAAGATACTGTAACAGAACACCTCTCTGAAACATTGGGTGCAGAGCTGTCAAAACTGGCTACCTTAGTGAGCCTGGCGAGGGTGCGCTCTGTCTCCCTAAGAGTACGGAGGCAGGTGCTGTAGTGGGCCTGCAGAGCCTCTTGTTTAGCCTGCTTCTGACTGATCAGCTTTTTGGAGGTGGCACAGTCCATCTGGGACCAGTTCAGCTGCATAGTTAGTGTCTCATTTTGCTCCTGCTCTTCAGCGGTGGATTTCTTGTAGCCTTCAATCTCTCTGTCCAGCAAGATCACCTGGTGATCAACAGCGCTGAGGTAGACAAGCACAGCAGTAAAGAATGAATAGGTGCATATTTTCATATGATGATTTCATTAAATTTTCTCTTTCTGCTTTCAAAAGCAGAAGAAACCAACAATCCATCACAGCAGAGAGAGACCAAGATGCTGTTCATCCGGCAGGTACCTACACGTACATTTGGTATGCATTAGCACATTTAGAGGGGATCAGTAGCATATTAATATTCAGCCTTCCCTTGCCCTCATTCTCACCACACAGCTTCCTGCATGGCGCTGAAGGCCTCATCTCGTCTCCTCATTCCCACTAGGCTACCGCTCCACTGCTGCAGCAGCTGTTTACGCGCCATTGCCAGAGATGCCATTTCCATCTCAGCCTGCACACAGACACAAAGATTAGAGGACATGTGTTAGGATAGACGCTGTATAGATACTTCACCAGCACTCAGAGAATATGCAAAGTATATTAGAGGCATTTGGTTCAATTATCAACCCTTTTAGCATCCTTTAGCTAATTGTTTTGGTTTTCTAGCCTGCTTTTTCAGTAAAAAAAGACCTGTTAGACTGTCAGTCTAACGCTACCTGGCCAGCAGCAAACAAAGGTAATGACAAACGTGCAGAATTTAGCAGCTAATGAGCTAGATATTTATCTCAGGAGCTGAGCTAAAAAGAGAGAGAATATTGGACTTAATGTTGCTTTGTATCCACTGGATGTGTAAATGGACAACTGTTTCCTAACACCTTAGCCATAACAATAAGGTGAATTTATAGTACTTGCTTGGTGATTAAAAAGCACTTTCAACGTACAGGTACACAGTCTTATGCCATAGTACAGTTACCTCAGAGAGAGCTGCTTTGGCTGCCTGTGTCTCCTCTGCTTGAGCCTTGGCCTGAACTTCATACATGGCTATTTGCTCCGTCAGGCTCTCCATGTCCTTTGTTAGACGCTCTACATACAAATCCTGAAGACACAGGAGTATTTTCAATCAACAACAGTACATTTAATCAATGACGACATTTAATACAGCCAAACATCGAACAATCTGATGTTTTTGATTCAGCCTGTCCACCTGCTTCAATTTCTGCTCCTTGGCCTGGTTTTTCTCCGCTCCCGCCTTGCTTTTGACATTCTTCATGGCTTTGACATTAGAGCGCAAATCGTCACTGACTCCTTGCGTGAAGACGAGATGCAGCATCAGGTTGTCTATCTCCGCCTGTAGCTGGGACACTATGAAGATACACAGGAGAATCAGAAATCAGAATCAGAATCAGAAATACTTTAATAATCCCAGGGGGAAATTACTTTCGTTACAACTCCAGATATACATACTACATATATACATATATTAAGAACATATATATATAAGAACATATATATATAAATATATATATATATATATATATGTATGTAAGGTAAAATGTACAGTTTGAAATGTCCAAAAAGTGCAGAAATGGTTGTCCGTGTTTGAGGTTAGATTACAGAGAGGGGGTGTCTGACTCTCTGAGGGAGGTGTTGTAAAGTTTGATGACAACAAGCAGGAATGATTTCCTGTGGCGCTCTGTGGTGCATCTGGGTGAGAGGAGTCTGCTGAAGGTGCTCCTCTGCTGTGCCAGTGTGTCGTAGAGAGGGTGTGAGACATTATCCAAGATAGACTAAAGCCTGGACAGCATCCTCCTCTCTGCCACGGTCGTCAGGGTGTCCAGCTCCTCCCCCACGACATCACGGGCCCTCCTGATCAGTTTGTTTAGTCTGTAGGTGTCTGCGACCTTCAGCCCAGTGCCCCAGCATGTGACAGCGAAGAAGATCACACTGGCCACAACAGACTCATAGAACATCCTCAGCATCGTCCGGCAGATGTTAAAGGACCTCAGCCTCCTCTGGAAGAGGCGGCTTTGGCCCTTCTTGTAGACTGCCTCTGTGTTTCTGGTCCAGTCCAACTATTAACTGTTAACTGTTTACATTAACACCATGACTCAAGTCTGTCTTTGGGAAACGTGGACACTGGGGCTGTCTTGCTGTTGCTAAAACAGTACTGTATATCCACTGGAAACAACAAACTGCTTTTAATACAAAACCTATTGTGTAGTAACAAGGATGAAGTTTCACATCAGTTTAAATTTAGGTTTAACAAACATTCAAACCTTACTTAATTAAAGACTAGTAATTGCTAGTTCAATTATATGTTGCACCAAAATCTGGACTTGTGTGTTTCAATCCACATGGCTTCCAAAAACATTTCTAAAGCTGTATTACTTTTGAGTACTTTCACTCAAACTCCAAACAATAATATTGTATACTCTTGAGTGGGTCTATTTCTTTGCCTGGATATGACTGCACAGAAATTACAGACCAAGCCTAACTTCATTAATATTTTGCTCATATTTTCAAAAATGAGAATCATCATGGATTAACTCAATAATCCTAGATTTGTTAATTACAGTTTAAAGTAAAATATGCAACTCAGAAGGAAATAAGATCCTGGATCAGCACAAAGTCAAGACCACCAAACACAAGTCAGTCTCACCATTGGCTTTGGCTTTTCTGTCCTGGTTGGTATTACTGGAAAACTGGCTCTTCATTGCCTTCAGCTGATCCAGTGCCTGCAGACGTTTGGCCTCAGCCTCCGCCTTGGTATGTTGACGGTCCTCCAGCTTGGTCTGGAGTCTGGCCAGCTGCTCTTGAACCCCGAATATCTCAATATGTAAGTTCTGCATGTGGTTAGCATCTGCCTTCTCCATTGCGAGCTGGGGCAGTGGGAGAGAGAGCACAGACAAGATTCAGAAAACAAATCATCTGTCTAGGATTATATAAAACTCTCCCTGTTCGACTTTGGTTACGGTTACAGTATAGATGTTTGGTGACTTAATCATGTTTCTTTAAATCATTTTTATGCTGGGTATTAAATGTAAATGATGAACAAAGGGAAGAATATCAGAACACAGAGGTGAACAATACATTTTTATACAGCTCAACAGCTCCATCTTCTGGACATATTCAGACCCTATAGATGCAAAGCTAGGGAGGTTACTCACATGTTGTTTGTTTCTGCATGTGCATATCTGTCTATGTGAATATTAACAGAGCAAAGACGGAAAAAGAAGCAGAAAAAAAGATTTGTTGTTGTTGCTGATAGTAAAGTAGCCTACCTTTTCCTTCAGTTCCATGTTGATCCTCTCTAGCTGCTTGCTGAGCTGACTGTTCAGAGCAGCTTGCTGCCTTCTGACCAGCGGCTGCCAAGAAATCAAACATGGCATCAATGACATGACAATGGACTAGATATGTAGTATAATAGTTATGAACTCACTACACATGTCTGTGACTAGAAGCAAATTCATCTGTGCAGCATTAACATAGCTTGGAGCCTTTAGGTAAGTGTTACCAATGCACCTAATAAACACACTAGCATTATTCTCTTTGAAGAGAAGTCAGACAAAATCTATTCATTTAAGACTGATCGCATAAATATTGAAAGAGAAGCTACAGACATGTTCAGAGTCGAGAACAATGAACTCCTCCTCCTCCTCCTCCTCCTCCGGCAGTGGCTCCTGATCCTCCATGTCTTCTGATGTGTTAAGGTTTGAGAGGTGAGGTATTAACTGAGCAACATTTTCTTGCACTGAAAACAGAAAATAAAAGAGATTCTTTAACCAATCAACAGATTCAAATGTGTGTTCATGTTTTGTCTGTCTTTGACTGTGTTTTGGATGGATATATTTGTGTTTTTCTCCATATACTGACCTATGCTCTTGTTGCCATGCTATTCTTTTTGTTACATAAAGTTTAAGTTGATGAAGGTGCTGTAATCTTAGGCACAGTAGCCTTTTTTTCCTAGGACAATGAAGTTTCCTGTATTGTAACTAATAAATGGTAGTAATGGACCTTTGAACTAAGGGATCCTAAGCAAACCAGCCTAAATGGCCTGTTTTACCATATTTATTGTATGTAGTTTGAACTGATTTCTGTGCTACCAATTTAATTTCCACAGGATCATAAATGATATAGTACTGAGCTTTAAAGGGGGACTAACCCTGCCCTGTCTTAAGAGCTATTATCAGGCAGCACAACTAAAAACTATGTGCAACTTGTGTAATCCTGCCTTCAGGGCGAGATGGAAAGACATTGAAGGCCACACATCAACCACTATTCCAATACAGGCTATAATAAATGATAGAAAAAATGAGAAAACATGACAAATGAGGAGCTAAATCCATGGCTGGCTAACATTTGGTTTGAGATTATATCAAAGAATAGCCTTACAGAGCAGATTAGGTTACTGCAGTGGATTGCACATGATTCAGATTTTACACCTAATACAATAGATGGGAGCTTCAGTAGATGGGGCAGGGGACCAACAATATTCTGGGAGCTCTTTAAGATGAAGAAAATTAAAAGTTTTCAAGACCTAAAGAATCAATTTGGTTTAAAAAATCAGGATTTATACAGATATTTACAGATGAGGTATTATATGGAGCAAACTATAAAAATGTCCAGTTTAGATGAGGTAGAGTCTGGAATTATTAAATTATTTATTTTAGCGTATGAATCAGATCTGGGCAAGAAATTAATCTCAAAATTATATAAAGAAGTGGAAAATGTAAAAGGTCCTAACACAGCATACATAAAAGAAAAGTGGGAGAAGGAGGTGGGAAGGGTGTTGTCAAAGGAGGAATGGGAAGAGATCAATGAACAACAATGGAAGACAACATGCTCCCTCTCATGGAGAGAATATGGTTGGCAGAACATAGTGAGATATTTTATTGCACCAGCACAACAGAAATCTCAGGATACAAGATGTTGGAGACTATGTGGAGGAAGTAAAGCCAATCATTTTCATATCTTTTGGGAATGCCCCTCTATTATACCTTATTGGCTCGAATTAAAGAAATGCATGAAGAAAATTTTGAAACTGGAACTTCCATTTTCATTTTTTGTTTTGTACTTGGGAAAAGGGAAAAGGGAACCAGAGAATAACAAATTCAGGGGACAAATATTTATTCAGAATAATGTTAGGGGCAGGTAAAAAAGCCATCACCAGGAAGTGGCTGAAAACGGAGGTACCTAAAATGGAGGACCGGGTCGAAGTAATGCATAACATTTACATGATGGAAAAGTTGACTTTCTCAGTTAGACTAGAATCAGATAGATTTTAGAATTTCTGGAATAATTGGGTTGAGTTTGTAACACCATTGAGAACAGACTTTATTTGGTAAAAACAATGTATCTTATGGATCCCCTTGGTTCTTGCTACACATTTTAAATGTTCAATGTTCATAAGATTGTGTTCGGCATTATCTTTCACCAGGTGAGAAAGGTCTTTACAAGAGGGGAATGAAAATGTGGATCGAAGTGAAAAATTTACTAATTTCTAGTCTACTTTAATTGTTAATTTTTGTCTATTGTGTTATGTTTTTTGATCCCTGGTGTGAAGTATTTGTATGCTCTATATACATGGAAAACATATGTGTGACATGGGACAATGCTGAATGGAATCAATAAAAAGTTAATTAAAAAATACTCAGTTTTAGGGTTAGTGTGTTACTCAGGGTTAGTGTGTGGCTGACCTGAATTTGTGGCTGCAGGGGAGTATTCATCCCCTTCACTGTGGTCCGGGGGAAGCTGGGGGGTCGGTTCATCAGGCTCTGGTCCTGACTGATCCAGTGAGCCATACTGGGACACAGACAGAGAGTACGAATAACTAATACTGATTATGATTTAACGTTAGTCATGGTGTTGTGTTAGACATTACATATCCACTTTATAGACTTTTTTTGGCATTAACTTTGCACTGTTGTCCCATAGGACTAACACTGTATGCAACAGTACTAGAATAGGCTCAAACCCCTTGTTAACCTGTATTATGGGCACCCAACAGCAAAGACTACAAGTGAAACATCAAAGCACCTGGACAAAAGGTAATATAAACATTTGCATGTCTCCATAAGGTGTTGGTGAAAGATAAAGAAGTTTCACACTAAAGCAAAAACGTTGCTTAACTCTTCTTCTTCTTCTCTCATATAACATACCTCTGCCGCTCTGTCACTTCCATCCTGCAGATGGCCGTCTCTCTCTTCTTGGCTGGAGCTTTCCTCCCTCCCCTCCTCCCCGCCTCCTTCACCCTCAGCGCTCTGCATTGGACCTTTGATGGAGTACCAGTGGTTTTATGTTAACTTAGCATACTTTTTAACAGGTAGAGTTAGTTTTCTCTTCTCTAGCTACCTGTTACAGCCACGTAACAATTACATAAACACACTGCACTTCTATTAACCTACGTTATTTTGGAGTTTTTCCATTTGAACACTGTAGCAAACTAACTTTCCGTATGTGGTCGGTACAAAATACGCGAAACTCGCAAAGACAGCATTAACGCCAAGCTAACGGAAGCTTAGCGCTGAATTGTTAGCCGTGGACAAGCATTAGCGAACAGTTAACGTTAATGGAGGTCGGACAGAGGTTGAGGAAAACCTAAAGGCACAGTTACAATAGCAGACAACTAACATTAGCTATTGAACAAATACAATAAATACAGCTTGTAACTGTAGAAAATATCATAAATAATTACCTTTAATTTTGACAACACTCAGCTAAAGCCGTAATTACTCAGCTCCGTACTGTCAGTGACAAACTAGCGCACTGACGTTGCTAGGCAACCGTAAACTTCCGTTGGAGGAGGTGCAGCGCTCTTCGTGCCAGACCGTCTGATGTGAGCCCTCATTTTCTACGGATTGGGTAATGATCATCATTGGTAACAACTGGGATTACCCTACTATTTCATGTCAAAATGGCTGCTGTGACAAAAGTCTATTCTGAATAAAAAATTTGAAGCAAAAAACAAAAAGGCTTTCATTGACAGAGATTTATTTTGCTCTATAAATAAGGCAGATACACACAATCACTGAATTTGGCCTTAAAATTACATTATAATTTTAAAAAGTAATTAATTCACAGATACAAATCATGGCATATCTTCATATATCCTCAAAAATCTCATTTCATTCTGTTTATTCCAAAGAAGTAGACAAAAATACAACCATAACCCACTTCATGTAGTCATTCAAAGACAAATACTTAACATAAACGCATAAAGGGAAAGACAATCATACAGAAAATCTATTTTGTGTTACAGTGCTTTAGTATCCTAAGCTTAGAATTCCTGTAAACAATGTTAATGCAGGTACTGTAGCACAACTGTAAATATTACCTCACAATGCTATATCAATACAGGATGTGTACCTTTGTGCAGAAAGAAAGATCCGGCACTAATAGGCCTATTCAAAGGACTTTGGTTAACATTAGAAATATGACATGGTTAAAAATGTATTTCTCAGAAAGGGAACCTGTAGATAAGGCTATACATTCTTGGCAATAGATGCTCTACTATACAGTACGTACCTTAACTTCATCCAATTGTGTACATACAGTATGGCGACTAGAGTCTTTTTAAAGCACTGCGACATATCAAAGTTGGTCATTTAAATTCACTTCCAACAATACTCATCATCGTCATCAACATTAACACCATTAATGAATGATGTATAGATAAACACACCACCTGGCACTCCATAAACATAAGGATTGAATGACACATCTGGAAAATGAGATCAACATGAGATAGTGTTTATCATGAGATAACAAAAAGAAAACTTTCACTTGTATTTGTGCAATAATTTGCATACCACAGTCAAAATGTGACGGGGTGACAACTGTTGTCATACATAACAACAGGAACCAAATACTATGCATACATACATTCAATAAACGTGTTAGAGGCCACGTACTTCTCATCAGACATACACTTTTATATAATATCTATACAAGGTCATACTATAACCTACATAGCGTTTCTATCATTGCACGTATTGTGTTTGTCATTAGTGCGGCATTTACAAAGTGAATGACAGAGATAATGTATGTCTGCTCATAAGCATTATTTCCATACAGACATGGATAAGGGCATCATTGGCATTTTAAAAAAAAAAAGGTCTTGGCAAATGAAGGGAGGTGTTCATGGTGTGGTCACAGCACAAATGAATACTGTTAACTGTTAACACCTGATCAAAAGCCGCTGACATAAAGCCACTTAAAGGTTTAATGTTTCATATAGTAAATGAACCTAACATCAAGTATCTGAGCTTTTCCAGTACACTGTCTTTTAACCTGTTTACAATTTAGTCACTCCACAATGGCAATGACAACTCTCCATCACACACGACTCATTCACTATGAAACACTTCTAATTTCAACATACTATCATATTGTAAATCTCTACTTACTGTATTTCTATAATAAAGGGGCTACCATGCTCTATCTCACTCTCTAGCCTTAGCAGGAAGGAACTGCAAGCTGTAAGGTATCTGGTGAATGCTTTCACATCAACGGACATTATGTACTTATGTATCCCCCCTGTATTCCCCTGATTAACTTAAACCCAATTTTGAGCCAAACGTGACTCTCTTCACAGATCAGTCCCTATTCCATAGGTCCTTATATAAATCCTTCAAAGACGATCACCTTTTTCTCTGGCAAGATAAATACTACTGAACAGAGCAGCAAGCAACAGTTTGTCTTTAGTGTTTCCTTGTTTGACTCTACCTTGTTCCTTTAAAATTCATAGCGTCTCATCTACGGTAAGTGAAAAACCCACCCACTTTGGGAATGTATTTGTATTACAGTAGTGTCTGACTTGTCAACTTTGGCTCCAGTTCCCACTTTGAGACTTCATAAGCTCTAGGAAATACTGTAAACAATCTTCATGGCGGGCTGGTGCTGTCCCTCTCTGGCTGGGAAGGCTCTGGGTCCACTGCGGGGCCGACTAAGGGTCCGCCGGCTGTGCGTGGGTCCATGGCAGAATGCATGATAGTCAGCCACACATCATCCATGTTTGGCATTACAAAGATTTTCTGAAAGATGAGAGAGAATTATGGATGGACAGTGAGTGATCGATCACTTTTTAGTATTCTTGACACATTTTAACACATCACATAGTGTTTCCCCTATAAAAGCACAGGTCTGGCAGGCCACCAGGCCAATGGGAACCCGGCAAAGAGTATGCAAGTTTGTTTATGGCTCATGTAGTTTGTCAATCCATTTTAAAAACAAACAAAAACAAAAAACAGCTTCGGTGAACTTTCTGGTGTGGCCGGGCACTTTGTCTCTGAATTACAGAAACTAAAATGAATAAAAAGAAAATGTGGTGTTTATCAATACCTGGAATTCCTGGTCCAGTTTTTTCTCTATCCAGTCTGTAACGTGAGCCAGAGTGACTTCTCTTTCACCCAGTTTAGGTCGTGCCTTCAGTTCCAGGTGAGGCGGTGTCCTAAAGCCATACCTGCAACAGACAAGGTCAAAACAATCAATGATTTACTTACAACACTACCTAACAAATGGACACATTGTGGCAACACAGACTGTGGTCACCACCAGCAGGGGGCAGTGATGTATTGAACAAAGTGCTATATGCAGCTGCAGGCTAGAATGAATATAGATATCCTTATTTTGTTATGTTTCATGTGAATTACTCTTGTAACTAAGAAAATGTTGACACAAGACAGGAAACTGGCTTCTTAAGAGTCAACTTACAAAAGAGATCATTTGTCACTCTGACAGACATGGAAAGTCACTTTGCACAGCATTCCACAAATTACATAGCAGAGAAACAATGCTTCCTTCGCGTACCATATCCTGTCTGTGGGTGGAGGGGGTATGTTGACAGCCAGCGTTCCCTGGAGTTCTTGTACCTCCACTGTGAGCAGAAGGGGTGTGTTAGACACTTCCTCCATCTTCTTTTTGATGAACTCTGTTTCTGTGGCCTTCTGGAAGTATTTGGACTTGGTGATCTTGTCCACAAAGCGCATGATCTTGCTGGGTTTGTGGCCTCCAGCCCAACTTTATTCAATACAAGGAGGATTAGGGTTAAAGTCACATACTAAATTTAGTGTAGCTGTAGTTACAAGAAATCTCATGATATCATTTTTATCTGACAAATAAATAGATTATGTTATCCAAACAGGGCAGTGATTCAATTATGAATTCCTAGCCATGTCTGCCATCATATTATTGGCATACAGTAAAGTCTTCTGTATTCATTACAATAATAAGTACTTCACTACCGGAAACAAAAAAAAGCAAATAATCTTGTGATGATGGAAATTGATTCATTAAGCCCAGAGAATATATATATAAACTCATTCTCACCCCTCTGCTCCAGCGCAGTCATTTGAGAGCTCTGAGGAGTCTTCCTCATCTGATGAGCCTGCGCTGGACGACTCTTCATCACTATCAGCCAGGCAGTAAGTCCGTGGCCTGTATCTGGACACACATAAACACAGATGGATCAAGGTGAGCACAAAATAACATACACGGACGCACACGCACTAACACACGTACAAGGTTCTGCTGTGTTTCACTGCACTTGAATTCTACAGTAATCTACCAACGAAACAACGCACAAATGATGAATGGCAACAGCAGGAGAGATATGAGTGTGCATGCAAAAAAGATGAACCTCTGGAAACATCACTGTTTCGAGACTGCTGATCAGTCTGTCTTCTGCAGCGTTTCTACCGTTTTGAACTTTCACATGTTGTTATCTGATGTGAAAGTGAATCTAAGGTGTTTTCCTTGTGTTGACTGGCATTAGCTCACTTCTCATTAACTGGAAACAATCTAGCCCTGAGAGGTACATACTTTACATGCACACTGTATTTTCATGGATCACTAATTTAATACAGTGAATTGGTACAGACTCTGACCATATTAAGCGGGTCAGGTATCGGTACAGTTTCTTCGTCAATGCCATTATGAATTCAGTGTTTCAGATATCATTATCATTTTAGTGCCACAGTACTATTCAGTAACATAACATACTCTGATGTATTGGTATCAGCATCATACTGTATGAACATGTTCTGTTCCTCTTCAGTTCTGAGAATGGATTTGGGGGCATGTAAACCAGAAACACTGATGAAGGCACTACGAATGAATACTTAATGAGATGAAGCATTGGGTGGTAACATTAAACAAGACAACCCCAAAACTATAGGCGTACGGAACTAGAAGAGAATGAAAGTGGAGCACAAGAGATCATTGTTGGAAGTCAAGCAGCACTCACCAAGAGCAGAAATACATCCGATTACCAGCCGCATAAAAGGTAGAATCCAGAGGGCGGAGAGGGAATAGCAGAGAAAAGAAAGGAGAATATATAAAAGACAGCAAAGATAAAGAACACTGAGTGAGAGCCCAACACCCGACAGAGATATGTGCACTTTTAAGTGTCAAGTAGTGGAGGAAAAGGTGTCAAATGCAAACCAGAAACATGTAGAGGATTTTTTAAAATGTGTGTGAGGTATGAGGGAGTTTGACTGTCTCACCCATCTTTGCCAAATTCCCCTACGCGGACGCTCTCTCCCTCCTTGCCCAGGCGGATGAGGTTCATCTTGGTTTCCAGGGTCATCAGGAAGGAACCACTGTAGGAAATCTCCAGGTCAAACCACAGACCTACAGAGAGACATGGTGGTTATAAGAAATGTTGATCTGAGAGAAAATAAAAGAAGTGAAACTGCAAAGGGGAATATTTTGGGGATATGAGCTACATATGCAATAAAATAGGTCCTGTCATGTCACTAAATCTACACACAATAAGCACAGCCAGGACACAGTACCGCTTGACAAAACTGTACT